CATTTATATGGTCCTGTAAAACAAAGAAGCATGAGATATTAAATGAGTCATTTGAACAAATAGACGGACAAGTGAGTTCAGTGATTTGTTCTTGGTTAGGGGTTGAGGTCAAAGGAGATGGCTAATTTTTTCAAATGACTGACTCATTTCAGCTCCTACATGCCTCTTCGTTTCACATGACCATCATCGAGATCCAGGCCCAAAAATTTTATTTTCTAAAAAGAAATAAGAATGAGTTGGTGGATTTGGAGGTCCAAGTCGAGAACCTGTTTAGTCATGCACGGGATGTGGTGCCTAGTTCGATCTACGAGATGGAGGATTTCAAATCAATCGGTCGGTAATGCTTGCTATTTATACCGCAAAGCTAAATCCCACACGGTTGTCCTCATTATCAAAAAGCACACTGAGACACTGCCTAACTGATCCGTTATAATGATACAGCTTTTTAGCAGCCCAGATAAATTAACCGGGGTTGTGGCCATGGACAAGAATGATTATACTGACGAACTGTTAATTATCATATCAGAAGAGGACAAGTTTACAGCCAGACCAACGGAAAAGACAAAACACATCAGACTGAACAACAAATCACGGGGATATTGAAGTGACTCAACCAAGAGGGTTACATGAGCAGTGAGTTGTATGAACGTATAAGACCTACCGATTCATGCATTCCGAGGCCATATGCCAAAAATCCATAAAGCTCCGGTTCCCCTCCGTCCTATCTTGTCTATGACAAATTCTCCATATTATTCTATCACTCAATAGTTAGCCAAAATCTTTTAACTCAAAAGGAAGCGGTTATCGTTATATAGTGTTGAGATTACCTTCCATTTTTTTGAAGCAACACGAAATATAGACGTGTTACATGGATATCACACAATTTTTCACAAATGTGCCACTAGTGGAAACTATCCAGTTCATGATAAACATCTTACTGATAACGAAATTAATTTGGGGATACCCACAGATGCGCTACGCGCAATTTTATTTTGGTTCGCATACAACGTTCAATCTCTTTTCAACGGAACGATCTGTCGACAAAAGAACCCATTAGCAATGGACACCTGTGGGCGGATATTTTCATGGCGATGCTGGAGACTAACCAATTAAAAGGCTCCTCATGAATATAGTCGGTTTAGAGACGAAATATCTTCTATAGCTGATTCAAACTACGAATTAGATCAACTCCTAGAAAAGTTCAACTTAGCACACAAGGCCATGAAATTTACAAAGAAGGAAGCAGATGATCGAATACCGTTTATAGATGGTCTTCTCATCAGAAGACGTGATGAATCTCTACAATGCCGTGTGTGGAGTGGCCAATATACGGATTTTTCAATTCATGTCTGTATTAAGCTGAAGATGAGCCTAGTAAAATAGTTGGTATCTAGAGCCCGGAGAATCTGGTTACGAGAAATATTGGAAGATTAATTCAAATTTATCTCCAACTTGACCAGAGGCAGTGGCTACCCTGACCGCTTCATTTAACGAAATATGACGGAACAGGTTCCAAAATTAGATGCGGATAGGGTTTGTTTACCACTGAAACTCTCGTAAGACGACGGATTGGAGCGGTAAGAGCCACATTGAATGCCGCACACCTACGCTACTGTTTCAAAAGTTCGCCACTGATAAACTACCGATTTTGACCGCTTCAATGACTGTTTACTCGTTCAGATGCATTTGTGACGCACTCTAAGTTGGTCGTGCGGTACGGCAGTTATTTATCCGCATGAAAGAACACCATCCACGCTGGCTGAGCGGGGGTTCCGCATCTATCACAAGTGCGACTCTCGTCCATCGTGTTAACCCAAGTGAAGCATTCCGCATTATTTATCAGATCCTCCTGAACCTGTTCAAATAGGTTAGAATGCGTGAGTTGGCCACAGCCGAGGCCATCTGTATTAGGCTTTTGACACCCCAAATTATGTGCCTATCTCACCTGGGTTCGCGAACCCACTCCTCCTCCCTGCGTCTCTTACCCGCACAAACAAATATTTTCACATATTAACACCGATCCTTCAGAATTGGTTCACAAGACCGTCGTGACATAACTGAAAACCCCGAAGGCATCGATCTTGGAATGCAGTGTACAACACTCAAGCATACATAGACACAAAGTGAGGGATTTCTCACCTTTCATTGTTCACGTCCCAATCCCTAAGATCTTTCCCTCATTTAAACCGTAACAGCGTGATTATGAGTTATTGAAAATATTCGCTCGCTTGAACTTTTCGGGCAGGAGTAAGCCAAGAATTTCAACTAGATAATAGAGATTAGTTGCAAAAAGGAGGATTTGCGTCCGATCCATTGTGACTTCGCTCATAAAAACGATTATTCAGATTACACACTTTGCCAGAAGGAGGGTCTATTGGACGAGATGCATCGCGATTGATGTTATCTTTAACACTCTTAGTTCATGGTGCCCACTACGGAAACGAGAGAACGGTTCACTGGGGTACTGCAAACTCAAAGTGTGTAAATATACTCAAAGTATTTTGACAAGCTGAGAATAAGATCTGGGTGTAGGTAAAAGTTTAGAACGAAAATGGCGATAATAAAGAAAGGAGAGAGGACAGCATGTTTTGAGTTGGCTTGACAAATCACAACGCCATTTGTTGGCCTAATGCATTTGGTACCATACTGTTAGGCTGAGAACAAATGCAAGTGACGAACATGTAAAGGAAACCGATAGGAACTCAAATGATGGCAGAGCTCAACGGTTATAGGATTGCGAAATAACGAAACTTCATTTAAAATGAAGATCAAAGGATCCTATTGAACTCGGTGTAATAATCGAAAAATATACAAGGAGAAGACTTCAATGATGGGTCCAGAGACTAAGCAAAGTGTGACAGACGTACAACAGTGTCTAATATGGAGCGTTTTATTTCGTATGCGAATTTTTTATCTACCGCATCAGTGGTGATTATTTCCTATAGGCGCATTGCCTTAGAGGGGTTTGAGGGCACGCAATAGATTGTGTCGAAAGCGTGTTCTGGTCTTATTTGATGACCTGTATCCACCCGATGACTAAGAATGGAGCTTCCTATGCTCACTATGTCTAATTTTATCTATCAACGCGGGCAATGTTCCTTCATCCGTTTGGATAGTTACCTTGTCGTGCGATCCATGCAGATTGAATTACAAACTCACCGGGAGGAGTAATTGACTGTCGAAGTGACCATCAAAGGCATTCCATCGTTGTGATTGGTTTAGATGATAAAAGAGCCTGTGAACACATGCGACAATCGAGCTGCGTTGCAGGTCCTCTGCACTGCACATGTCAGACGTTTGTTTAAGAAGTCATATATTTCAGCTCGTTGAAAAATTAGACGGATGAATAATTTCCTTTTCTGAGCCACATGAACCTGTTTGGACAGTGACCTTTCCTCACAGTTTCGTTCGATGAGTCGTTCAGGATAACCGTTTTCTCTGAAAACTTCTCTAATGTTCCTTAGTTCTTCATGATGTATACTGTCAGGGCAGATCTTGCTATCTCACTATATGAGACTGTGAATCAGGTTTCACTTTTATCTGAGTTGGACAAAGTTGCCAAGGATGTCGGGTCTTTAGAGTATCGAATACGTAGAAAACCAACTTAGGCGGGTAACAAAACTTTTACGGCTTCAGTTTATCGATCAGATAGTTTAGGTGGTCGGTGTTATAAAGACGTTAAGTATGAGCGAAGTGAGAATAGATGTAACTCCAACCGGTAAATACTGTTTCCAAACTCAAACATTTTATTTTGTTGTGTAATATCACTACTGTGAGGTGGGGCAGAACGACCAACAATAGTTCACAAACATTATGGAAATTTCGCCATTAGGTTGTTGCATAAGTTCCCGTCGATACATAAAATTATTTTTTCTACAAAGAATTATGATGTTTGGCAAAGTGTTATACACCTTTAGAAAGCCCGTGCTATGCTTCACAAGACCAAAGTAATCGCTTATACCTATATCACAATTTTGCCCCTTTTTAGCATCGTCAAATCGATTGTCCAATCGAAGGTCACACATTCGACACCTTCTCGTCCTTAATCGAGGTCAAAAGTGAGTGCAGCTACCAGAGATATTTGTGCCGTGTACGGAGAGGACACTAAGGCTGAGAGAACTTCTCGGGATTGGTTTTCCTGGGTCCCGCATCAACTCATCCAAAAGCAGAAGGATAAGCGGCTCACCATTTCCGTTCAAGATCTCGCTCGACACCAAGGAACCTATAGCCACAACCAACGTTTCCTATACATAATCGTCACTGGAGACGAAAAATGGTGTTTCTACATGAATATGAAGTGAACAAAGGGTGGGCAAGCGGAAGCACGTGCAACAATCCAGTATAATATAATTATTTTACTCATTGCATTGGTAGTTATTATTGTTATTATTTTTATTAATAGTATGTACAATATGATCCCATCTGGCGCTTTATACAACCCTTGAAACATAGATCAGCATTTAAATTGAGCAGTGTTTACAGTACAGTTAGCTAAATAAAACAACCGCCTAGTTGAAAATAACATGGAATTTGCATATGATTGTTCGATTCAGCAAAAAAGTTAATTTTATTCAGGTACAAGAAGCATAAATAAGCGGTTGCGAACAGTTTTGAAGCTTCATTTGAAAAATTTTATTTCATTTATACTGGAAATGGGTGCATCCAACCCCGCGACCTGTGGGATATTAAAAAAAACACCATTTATTTTCACAGTGGTCATTTAAACGCCTAATCTATCAAAAAGATTAGCCAAAAAGTGCAAAATATTTGCTATTAGTAATCTTCCGGTCACCCGATTCCCCCTCGTGAGTGGGATTCATTCACAGGTAGGGTAGACATATACGCCTGAATTTACCTGGACCTATCAGGTATCAACCAATCACCTTTCCCGATCTGAAAATAAACATATAACCATATATAACCATAAATATATAATATAAAATGCGTGAGTACACATCAGTTCTTTGTCCTTTTGTCCTTAGTGCCCTGTGCGGCTGAAGATGATTTACATGCATCTTGCACTTTTGGCTTCATTGGAAGGTTTTACTCAGGGTAAGTCTTATTTTGCTTCGCAGAACTTGTCACAACTCAAATAAAGACGTGACTATCTATGTAATTCTCTAAAAGCGGGCTCACTTATATTGATGTTATGAATTACGTGTTACGCGCCGTCGTTAAGAATCATAACCGAGCGGTTAGGTCATCAAATTCAGACCCCGATTTCGAACGGTCCTAGCACCACCTGCATTCCGTATTTCTACATTTCCTCAGGCAGCCTTTGTTTGATCGCGGCCTACCTCGTGAATGTTGATTGCATATTTGTGTGTTCAATAACTGAAAAAGGAAGTAAAGAAAGACACAAAGACAAAATGTTTCATAAAAGATCACCATATGTATTATATTACCATTGATAGCACACACTTTAACCAGCAGTCCTTCTTGCAACTGCTTAAATCGTAAATCACACTCTAGGACAAACATTCATTGGTGTGATTTCAAACGATTTAAAAGAAGCCTCAAAATTTTGTCAGTCGATGGTTTCATTTTTCAAATCGCACCGCAGATGAAATGGAACCTTACTTGATCCCATTTCACCAGTTTCTTATCATGCTTGTCACTTATCCCGTCTATCCACAGGAACGATCTTTGCTTTTCATTCATCAAGTATTGATTTCATAATCAACCGAGAACCAGTGGGAGAGGATAGAACTTTCGGTAGAATACGCGTTAAGGAGCATTCGGATTTTGATAACGAGGAGCTATACTGGGTGGATCCTGAATCGCCTGCATACCATGTGATTAACGTTAATCCACTGACTGGAGATCTGACAGCGGTCTATCCTCTAAATCCACAATCGTACTTTGTGACAATCCATGCGGGTAGCAGAAATGAAAAACATCATTCAACGGTGGAGGTTCATTTGCACGTCGAGTGTTTCGCAGGTTCTAAAATGTGGAACAATGCCCTTGGCTGGTCACGAATCAACTTGTCATACGAAAATCAGGTGAGCATTTAAGAATGACTTGCAAATATGATTTGTGACACGGTCGCATTTCATGATTTGGTATATAAATAAAGTCAAAAGTATGCAATTAATCTTTGACTCAGTTATACGTGTTGTTTAAAGTCACTTCGAACATTATCAAATCGACTGTAACCAATTCACAGCTGATTGGCCTTTCCTCTGAATGCACTTTATCATACAGTTCTCTGAATTCTGCCCCATAATTCATATACTAGCTTTTCCGTCACGCAAGGATGATGACTAATAACCGGATAAAGTCGGAGAAAGGGATATTTTACACGATAAATCTCGCCAGGTATGGGGAAAAGTGAGATGTGAATCCAAAGAATAGACAGCTCTTAAACGCTGCTCCAAACTGGCAAGCTCTCTTGATCAGTGTGCAGATTTTAGGCCCCACTGAAGCCGGAACTTCAAGTGCAAGCACATATCCAAAATGATTATCCGGTAATTGATCGCACTTTTTATTTTTTTCCAGACATCTTCGCTAGGCTTATGGGAATACACTTTGACTGATTTTTTTCCGAGGAGAAATCATTGTCACTTTATCACAATTGGTAATTTTGTCATTAAAATTAGATTAGCATTTGACATTAGTTTGTGTTCAACTTTGAGGTTTTTAATAGCAAAGTACCATACCTCACTAATATAATAACGATCACAAACTGCATCTGACACGTGTACAGAAGCTGCGAAAAGATCCCGGGTATATTATGCGAATGTGTTTTTAGCTTCTCTATTCTAATTCTTTACGGAGAACCTGTGGTTCAAACAACACTTAATTCGAATAAGGTCAACTGAACAAACTGAATGGAAATTAATTTAGAACTCTGATTATCAGCATCTGGTTGATAGGAACTATGATTTCCAACTACCTCAATGAGCGGTTTTATATCGAATAATTAGACGATTATCGCAAACGGTAACGCGTATACGATTAGCTAAATAACAACAAATCGTTTGTCTAAATACAGTTACATGTTGAACGGAACCCCTACACCCATAGTTTATCACAACATAATTTTATGGGGAGAAATCCGAAGAATGAAAGCCAAAGTTAGCGAAATTCTTTGCTTTTCTAATATTTCTTGCATTTGGATTGAATGAGCTTGTAGTGATCAATAATAAAAGGTTTCCATCCGGTAAGTAGGTACTTTATTACCGTGTCAAATGGATTGCGATGACATTCCACCAAAGCAAAGAGATAGTTTGCGTTTCGCTATGCTCAGATCAGGTGAGTTTTCATCCGTCTTTGTGGTATTTTGCTCTTTTAATTTTCTTTTTCTTTTAATTTAAATACAGAAAAAACATCTGATGCTTAGCTACCTGATTTATCGATAGTGAAATTGCATTTCGTCATTCGAAAACAATACAGGGAATAGTTCACCATTACTTTTCTTTGTGGACAAACAAAACAAGCGACTTTTAGTCAGGGATTTTGAAGGAAACCTAACTTTTAGGGCGTTTCACAATATTTAACGTCTTTTTTACATACGTGATAAACATGGACAGAAAAGTCCATAATTCTATCCTATTGTTGAGTTAAACTGGACTAAGCTAACCTGAAACTTCCATTTAAATAGAATGATGAACTTCGTCTCTGGGAAGTGCTCAAAAGTGAGACATCTGGAGCCACTTTGGCTCCAATGAATCCCCGTCACTTTGAACTCGGTTATCGGATTACATTGCAACAGTTCGGCTGCATTCCACCGATTCGCATCACATGTAATCCCTCAAAAGGGATCAAGTTGACCAACATGAAGCTGGAGTCTGTTGGCGGGGGTATGAAATGCCCCAGCGTCACAAGTGATCGTATGTAAGTGATAAAACATTTTATCTACAATGCATGACTTCTGTAATATAGCTTCTTATCTGTCAATTGTTATAGAAGCAAATAACGCAAAACTTACAAAAACATTTGTAACGAATCTAGTTGTATTGATGATGTATAACAATAACTCGAGGCTTCACCTTCTGGTTCGTTTATGCAGGTATTCAGTACCAAATTCGGTTGAAAAATATATGGATATTGGTCCCCTGTGTGCGACAGGATATTCAAATAGTTGGGTATGTCCAGTTTGAAGAACTGCTTGAATTTTTGCTAAATTTGTTGTTATTTTAGTGTTCNTATCGAATGATATATTTATAAACAGAAATGCTCGTGTTCCGTTCCCTTTGAACGGAGAGAAGACAACCCGTCGCATTTGAATTATTATACTTCAAACTAAAACGATCAAACCAAGCTGTATATTTTCAAACGGTAAATGTAGCTCATAAACAAACAAAGTTTGATTAGCTGAACTGCTCTTCTTATCACACTTTTCTCTACTGGNCCTGACAGTCTGGTGGTGTTAACAGATTAAACTTGTCTCTTTGATAGGTAATTCCTTTGGGTAATCCGGTAATGATTATACTGGTGGAATCAGGCAGGTTGACTGGGTCAGAAGTATACTGACCACCCCAGATGCGATGGGCACTTGGTTTTCCACACCCACATTGTAGGCACGATTTGGACTAGTCCAAGAGCTCCACTTAACCCGGTCACACTGACATCAGAATATTCGTTTTCCGGTATGTACTTGAATGCAGATTAGAAGAGCACAATGTTGCATGATTTATTTCAGGGAAAAGTTCACCATATCTCTTCAGATTTCCATTACATTCGGAAAATCTAATGAAAACTAAAGCGCTGAAGTTACCGTGGATTAACTGTTGGTGTTACAATTGTCTATCTATTTAAAAAATATGGAATGGAATTAAAATTAGTCCCTCGGCTTGAACATTTTGGGGTCGCACCGTTTAATGGCGATCGCCCGTGCAAACTGGTGTAACCGAAGGTTTTAGGCAAAAACAATATCTCTGAATATCGCGGTCACATACACATGATCTCTAGTATCTAATATATGACGAGCTATCCATAAAGCTGGCGTGCGAATTTGGGGTTACCTCTGCGCTTGCTCGTTTGGACCTGATAAAGTCACTAGTAGATCCACCCAGACAAGAGTGTATTTGCTTTTGTTTTATCTAACCTGCCTCTCGATTGTGCTCAGGGACACGACTGAGCGCTCACAGACGAATTGGAATGAGATATGGTTGACAACCAAAGCGACCGCTTGACTAAGGAAGCCGGTTTTTGTCACCTGTGTAGAAAAACTGATTTCCCAAGGAACATTTACGTTGTCACTTTGAAAAATAATTTTTGACTAGAGTATGCACCTGAAGAGATATAGTGAATTCTTCCACAAATAAATTGTACAGCACTGCGATACTGTTCTCTGTTCAAGTACCTCATTTCCTATTGATCTACCTATAGAGAGAGTGTTCCGCAACACACAAATAATAATCTACGATAACGAAGAATTGTACAATAAACCTGCGTCCGCCATCACGTTTCCCCGGATAGGTGTTATGAGTGAAAGGACGAAGTATAAAACCAACTATATAAATAAAATATCTCAATTATCGGATACACAAGAAGCAGTGGGGACATGAAGATAGATGGGAAGTAAAGCAGTTTGGTGAATGTCTCCTGATTTCGAAGTCAATCTTAACGGTTCTTAAATTTTCTTCCATTGCAGAGGTAATTTGACAGAACCGTTTCAAGTGACATTATTGATCGATTATACATACAGTCGCGGATCTTTCTTTCTGTTTAATATTTCGCAGGTCGGAATATCAGTTACTGGCACAGTTTTGGGCTACAACTCCGTATCACATGTCGAATGTGTCAGGACTAGTGATCACGAAGGTCTCCACCGATCAAGAGTCACACTACTGCAAGTTCCCACCGTAAATGGATTTTCTCTAGCGAGACAACGGAGGACAGCCAATAATGTAAGCACACGCTTCTACTGGACTGCTCTTGACACCAATGTATGTGATTAGTGGGTTAGGTTCAAAGTTTTGCAAATGATAGTGACCAAGTTTGATGTACATAGAGGCACTTCTACCGAAACCGTTATCAAATGGATCTTTAGTAACATTTTTATCAATTTTGCCCAGCGCATATATTGAGGCTTTCGATACTTTTTAGACTTGAAACTTGATGCAAACACTGCCACCTCTAATAAACTGGCAAAATAGCCTAAGTATAGCATGAAGATTTGCTTTTTTGCAAAGCATACAGTGTTTTTCGCAAAACTTTCACTGTGTTGAATAATGCTATTTATCGGCTCTTCAGCTTTGTGAGTTGGTCACTCTGCAATCGAGCGACGCAACAACAACAATTGTTGTAAATCGTCCAAAAAACATGTCCATCAGTATTGACATACTTCAACCTGATGGTCCTGAAGAATTCTCATTTTCAATATCGTGTGACGGGAATTTGACAGCAAACAGCTCCTATTGTGATCTCAATCTCATTTCAATGATGGTCGGAGGAAAGGTGGCTGATCTGACAGA